GCGTACAAGGACTTTGAGTCAGAGGGTTGGTTCCCATAATTTTTTTTAAAGTTTGAATTGGTGCACTGCATTGCCGTTTGCAACTTCAGATGATGAGAGTTAACTCCTGCTTCCCATTGAGTCCATAACACATATTTTCAGTATATTTTTCCATTTCCTTTCCATTTAGCCACCCACAGGTATGCTGATACCATTAACCAGAATCAAAGTGAGTTCAACTTTTTGGCATTTTCTTGGTGGAAGGAGCAAGGGGGGGATGGGGCATCCTCTCCCCAGCCTTGACTGGGAATATGGGAACCTCCACACATCAGTGACACACTTGGGAGATAAACTTTGCTGCTTGCTTGAGACACTTTGAGGAGGTAAAAATGCTCTCAGAAGCTTTGCCCTCCCAGTTAGTCCAAATTAGGTTTTTTTGGGGACTGTGCTGGATTTTGGCTGGCAATGGAAAAGAGGTTCCTGGGTCTCAAAAAAAAAATAAATAAATTAGTGATTCCAGCTACTGCAAACAAGAGGTTCAGCATCGCTTTGGGTGCTGCAGGTCAGTGGTACCAGGGGGTTTTGCAGGAACTGGGTTGCTGAAAGCTCTGCTGGGCTGCTTGATGGTTTGAAAAGAGGCAGAGGCTGTGGCTAGTGTTGTTCCAGGGAAGGAAGAGCTGCACAATGACATTGCATTGCCTTTATAGACAATGGAAGCAAAGCATTTGTTAACCAACGCCTGCCTTCTGCAGAAAATCAGCAAGTCAGGCACTGAGCTGGAGAAGTGCTGCAAAGCCACGTGCACCAGGGTTATCCTGTCCCTGAGCAGGGACTGGAGCTGGGACTGGGATAACAAAATCTCTTGCCTTGAGGCGTGGTTGCAAATAAAGGATGCACCGAATGCTGAACCTCCAGAGCAAAACTAATTTGAGGACTAAGGGGCAGGTCAGGAGCTGTGAGTGGCTGGACAGGAGTTAACTGTGCTGCTGGAAATGGGGGTTATTCAATTTGACGCTGTGGGACTTGGGGCAGTGGGGAAACACTGTGGGCTGGGTGCCTTGGCTTGTGCAGTGCTCCTGCGGGCTTGGCCAGCACCGTTATTCTCCATCTAAAAAAAAAAAAAACCAAAAAAAAAAAAACAAAAAAAAAACCCCAAACCATGCAACTATTCTGCAAACTGTTAATAACCCTCCCATTTAAGGTACTATCGGATTTTTTTTTTTTTTCATTACTAAGAACTGTTGCTATCGTGACACGAACATCCCTTAAAGGCTCCTCCTGATGCTTTAGGCATGTAGCAGTAATTGCACCTGTTATTATTCCCTTGCAAATGTTGATTTATTATTTTTTGCCTTTGCTGTATCTTCCCCTTCTGCAGCCAGGAAAGCCTCAGCTCAGCCGTTCCCATGGCTGAAGCAGGTCCTGAGCTGGAATGGCCTTTGTCAGAACTCAGGAAAAATAACTAAATTGACTTCTGTACATGTAACTTGAGGAAAAAAAAACAGAGGACTGTCAGAATATCCAATAATACAGCTGTAGTCTTTTATATCTTTATGTATGCCTTTATAACTTTGTTTTTTAACTTTGAGTTATACCTTCTTCACGTTATCCACAAATAACTTTGTCCTAAGCCTTTCATTAGTTATATCCAAGCAAGTGTTGGTTTCAGGAGTGGAAATTAGAAATAAATTTATTAAAACCTCCAGATGCACTGGGACTAAAATAGCATAGCAGCACAATTATGGAAAACAAAGTTTTGCCAGAGCAGGCGAGGGAAAGGAAAATCAGGAGGGTCACAAACTCACCAGGAACCTCATCAGACTTGATTTAAATGCTTGATATCAAATAATTTGCAACAATTAACCAGGGGAGCACAATGGGAGGAAACGGTGGGAAAGGTTCATTAGCTACAGGGGGAGTTAAACCAAAATGCTCTAATTTGGTGTGTTGGTTTTTTTTTTTTTTTGTGGTGGTGGTGCTGTTTGTTTGTTTTTTTTTTCTAGTAGGACACGAGGGAAAGGAGAAGGGGCCAGGGGAGCAGACAGGAGGGTCCCAGTCCAGGGCTGGCACCGCACCGAGGAGCAGGGATGGTGATGGCCAGTGTACGCTGTTATCAGACACCTCGCACATCATCGGGATGCTTAAAGCATTTATTTATACAAATGTACAGCATTTACAAAAGTTAAAAAAAAAATTAGACATCTAAGAGCAATATCACATACATAGAGCCTAAAAATAAATAGGGTGCAGCTCAGCACTTCTGTGCTTTAAAAACCCCCAACAGCTCCACAGGCAGACGGGGCACAGCGACGGGTCCCCCGCCTCCCCTCAGTCACCTTAATTTGCTCTCTTTAAGCTCAACGTCCGTAATCCTCGTACCGCAGCCAGAGGTAGCAGCTCTGCTGGACAGTGCTGGGGTCCCTTCTGATGAGCGCAGCTGCGGGGGACCAGCACTGCAGGAGAATCGGGACTTTCTCCATCTGCAGCAACATCGTGGGAAGAGCAAAGCTGGCGACATGCTTCGGAGCAGCTCCTGCTCAGGTATTTATTGGGCTCCAGCGCTAGCTGTGTCCTCTCGCTGCAGGCATCACACCTTGTCACGGGGTGGAAGCGGTCCTGAAAGTCCAGCATCTCCTTAGGGAGAATCTGGCTGTTCCTGCAGCCACGTCTGGCTCAGGGGTTAGGCTTGGTGAGTTTGGTTAAGTAACAATAAATCTGCAAAATATATTGAGGAAATAGAGCAACACAACAGAGAAGCCAGAAGATGCTGCTGGAAACCTGCCTCTAAGCTGTTGGCCAAGGCAGCCAGGAGGTAACAGCTGCATCTTGCTGCTGGTTAGGTATCTTACTGCCTGACTCCTCAATGCACGTGTTAAATACAAATATAAATCCTTAAACCCTCCAGCTGAGCTGCCCCCACCCGTGTGTGAGCCCTGAGATGGCGGGGAGCAAGGTGGCCCAAGGCTTGAGCCTTGGTTGAACAACTAAGCAAGACATCCCCATGTAATAATCCCAGGTTTCCCATGCCTCTGCGTTCCTCCGGATTTCTAACGTCATCTCAGAATGCACGTCCTGGTCTGGCCCTGCTCCGACACTTGGCCAAGGTTTAACCCCTGCTCCAGGAAAGCAGCTGAACCCCTGCACAAGGTCCTTCCAGACTTAAACTCTTCCATTTTGTAGGATAAAAATAATAAATAAATATTTAAATTGCCATCGGAGAAGTCTTAACCCCCTCCACCTCATTCTCCCCCAGCCCGTAAGTACCTTAGCTCTGCTGGAGGGATGCTGCAGAGGAGGGGGACAGGCTCTAGGAGGACTGCAGGGTTCTTTTTTCTATTTTTTTAGGTTCTACTAGAGATAGGTCTAACTTGCATATAACAACAGATTGCAACCGCCCTCTTAATATTGAGCAACTCGTAGGAGAACTGAAAGGGCATCAAAAAGCAAGGTTTGTGCGGGAGGTCAGTGAGCCTGTCCTCAAAAATGTTCATTTTATATAAAAAGTTAAAAAGAGGAAATACAGAGTGTTTAAGTTCAGTTTTCCCAAGGAAGTATACAGACATTTTAAAAACCATCACTCAGCAAAGCACACCCAGGCTTTGTGCTTTCCTTCCCCCTGAAACCAACCCGGGAGCGTGCGCGCTGCTCCTGGGTCTCCTTCTCCTCCGATAAAACTCCCTCGAGTTTTTCATGGTAAAACTCACCAAAAAAAAGCATTTCAGAGCATAAGCCCTGCTATAACTTGATAAATCGCAGGTTACCTTGGAGCACGACTAGCCAAAAATTAGCTCATAAAAGAACAACTTATAGTATAATATTTCTGTTGTTTGGTTTTTTTGTTTTGTTTTGGGGGGGGGGTTGTTTGTTTTTTAAAGTCTGGTTTAAGTCCATGGACACCCTGCTTTTATTACTGACCTCTCAAAACAAAGCTGATTCTTTTTCAATAGTGATGCAAGGCATTATTTTTATATATATACACATTTATGATAATTTATATATTACAGGCTTACCCCCTTGCATAACAACCATTTTGCCTGGCAATCTCAGTATTTAAGAATCTTTTAAACCCTTTTAAGATCCTACTCAACATACAAAAATAAATATTGCATAATGATTTCTCAGCAAAACAAAACCCAAGTCACCAAAATAGTGCTAGGATGCTCCGCAGTGGGAGTGCATTAAATAAAATAAGAGAAGGTTTTCAGGATCAACCCTCTCTCAGGCTGTAGGTTGCATAATCATTTCTCAGCAAAACGAAACCTAAGTCACCAAAATAGTGCTAGGATTAGTCAATGCTCCGCAGTGGGAGTGCATTAAATAAAATAAGAGAAGGTTTTCAGGATCAACCCTCTCTCAGGCTGTAGGACCAGGTGCCAAAAATACAAAAACATGTAAAGCCCCAAAATCTGTCTCAGCAGGGACCAACGTCTCACCCTGGACACCCACGACCTCTCCATTCACCTCCCTCCTCTTGGGAGAGGCTCGCACCCACGTCGCCCTCTAATGATGCTTCAACAACAGAGTTTTGAGAGTTTTTCTGGTTGGGTTTATAAACCAAAGCGATTTTCTGCACATCCCGCTGCATGTTGCTGGGGAGGTGGCTGGTGGGAGACCGCAAAGACGTCCTGGCTGTAGGTAATTTACCATAGGGTCTTCAAAGCGGTTAACGAGACGCGGGAGTTAGTGCTCTGACAAATGATAACAGGAAAGTTTCCAATGAGTAAGTGGCGATACTAGCAGCGGTAGAGTAGTTTTAAATAACATTTCCCCCTGGAGAAAAGACAGACGTTAGGAAAAGCGTATGCAGCGGTCTCAGCCACGGATTCTGGGAACGTTTTCCATGAGTTTCTTCAGGAAACAGGAGAGAAACGTGATGGTTTTACCCCCTTCAGATGTGGCTCCATCCCAGGCTGGCTAGCTTGTCCGTTAACAAAAAATCAGGAGGAAAATCAGGGGGAAAATCAGCCTTTCAAAGACACCTCCCAAGTGCAGGGAGAGGGTGAAGGTTCGTGCGGATGTCCTCAGCTGCCCACGCGGGACAGCGTGACCCAGTGCTGCGACACCAGCCCCAGCCAGAGACACGCCGCGGTCAGCAGCACGGGGTGGGAGAGTCTCTGCGTTTTGTTGAGGGGGGAGAGGGTGGTGAAGACGGCGTCTGTTGTGTTCTTGGGGAGGGACAGGTTGCAGATGCTTCCTTCGCAGCAGGAGGTGCAGATCTGAAAGAAACCAGGTATTAACTCAGTTATTATTTGAAAATTACCACTGCCTTTGAACAAAGACGTCGGAAAAATAATACGACACTTGCAAAGGAGCACAGTGGCCACTTTGATTTTTTTTCCCCTTTTATTTTTTTTTTTGCCCTTTTTAAAAAATCCATCTACTTGGAGAACAATTTCACCATACAGGGGCTAGCATAAGGAGGACACATCCACTTGGAAGAGGTTATTTTCTTTTCTACCCAAAAAATAGTAAACTGATGACAACCAGTGCTGCTTGGTTGAAGTAGAGCTCACAAGCCAGAACTCAAAGAAATGGGTATTTATTTTATAGGGTTGGTTTTTTTTTTTTGTTGCCTGTCACCTAGTGTGCAGGCACTGGAGTGACAGACAATTCCTGTGTCAGCTCGCAAGGACACACGGCTCTGCCTTCCCAGGGCTAGGAATTTTTTTTTTTTTTTTCTGGAAGAGGTTATTCCTTTGTTTCTGCAACAAGTGGAAACGAGCTGGAGCTCGTTAAGAAGCGAAACTTCATTTCTGACAATGCTGATGTACCCACTGAACCAGCCAGGCTTCTAGCAGAGCCCAGAAGGATTCTGCTCAGTTGTCATATGAGAAAGAAAATCGATTTTTATCCTATACCTTGTATTCTTCATGCTTGACATACGTGCACCCCGTAGACAGGCAGTCCTCTAACGGCACACAGCGCTTGGTGACGGAGACGCTCTCTCCAGTAGCTTTCATCATGTGTTGGCTAAAGCAGTATCTTGTATCTAGAAAGAGAGAAAAATGCGTTTATTTATCAAATTCATGTTTTGTGATAGTCTACAAATAGGAAGAAGTGGGAAAGAGATCTCAGATTTTTTCCAAATCTTTGGATTTTAAAAAAAAAAAAATTTAGATATATTTATTGCAATACATGAATGTCACTAAATCCACACCCTAAGCTCTGGCACAAACCTGAGGTTTCAAAGCACTCTGGAACACGGAGATTTTTTCCCAGCACTAATGTAGGTCTCTATATTTCAGATAAAGAAACACACATGGGATAATAAAGTTACAGACGGAGGTTCAGAGAAACACCCCAACTCTCGTGCACTGTTAGTTTTACAGGAATTCTCTTTAAAAAATAATAATAAAAAAAAAAGTCACCACGATGCCTGTTTACACCTGAAGCTAACTTTCTTTTGTACCGTTTTATGTTTTTTCCGAGCTTCATGCACAGCCACCAGTTCTGTAGAATTCCCAAGGGGTTATGCCCTCGAGACGCCTTTCCCTGTATCCTGACAGCCCATCCCAGCTGTCCTCGCACTCCGATCCCGGCTCTCCCGCACAGCCCGGAGAACATCCTTCATCCTCCCTGTCCCTCTGTTTTATCCTCTCTAGAATAATGCCAAAAACCAGCAGAATAGTTGGGAGGATTTATGCATTTCTCAGTTTCCTGGTCTTTGGAAAAAGCACCACGACGTGGACCGTGTCCTTGGTGTTCCCATCACGTCGTCCACATGCTCCTCCTGCGGGCTCCCACATCCCCAAGGGAGACCATCCTCATCCTTCTCCTCCTTTTTTTGTAAGCTACTCCTCTAGTGACACTTGTAAAACACCCAGAAAATTCAAAGCAGAACGCCTGACAAACGCTGCGGTTATCCCCAGGCTGGAAGGAATTTGGGTTTATTTCACGCCTGAGTCGTCAGGAGGAAGCTGAAGGTGCTGTTCCCCTTCCCAGCACCCCAAGATGAAAACGCTGGATTTTCAGCACAGGAAACATGCCATCATATATTTCTTCTCTAAATTATACCTTGCTGCTTATTAATCAAACCTTATTATTAATGAAATTGTTGTTTTCACAATGGGAAAAAAAAAAAAAAGGAGTATAATTAAAGTGAACATTCCTGTTCAGCCCTGGTCTCCAATGGGCAAACCCTGCATACTTCTCATGCTTGAGCCATTTAGCAACAGCCAAGCGAGATTTCGGCTGAACACGTTACCACCAGGCAACCAAACCCCGCAGACATCTGCCATGTCTCTGACCCGCTCTTAACTCAAGTGCGATATCCACAGCACACAGCCTGAACTTATCACCGGCGGCTGGCGATGCTCGGTGTGCTGGCTTCCTTCAAACCCGCCAGGGCTGCAGCACCCGGCTTTTAATTCATTTTCCAGGCTCTCCAGCCCTAAGAGGGGACTCCAACCCAAGACCATGAAAAACACAGGCCCAATGCTCTAAAAATCTTACCTAAAATAACAGAGAAATTTAGAGCAGTTCAGATAAGACATTGTAGTATCAAAGGTGATGCTTCTCAGCAGGGTGGTGCCAGACCCAGGCAACTGCTGCACAGCCCCAGGGTAAGGATGGGCCCGGCATGCCCAGGAGAGAGGTGAGGCTCTGGACAGAAGTTCTCTCTCTTGCTCCGGGTTGTGTCCCTCCGGGTCACCCCTCTCTCAGGGTCGTCTCGGTCTCTCGGACACTCAGGCTCTTATCTCCATTCTGGGACTGTGGTTTCGGGACTCTCCCTGCCCCAGGATCATTGGCTGGGAACAGGCTGAGCCCTGGTCATGGGGTGGTGAGCAGTGTCACTGTGTGTCACTCATTTATATCTATTACTATGTATTACCATCAATATTATTATTTCCAACATTATTGTACTTGAATTATTAAATTATTATTATCTTAACCCCCAAGTCTCTTTTCCCTTCACGCCTTTAATGCTCTCCACCATCCCTGGGGGGGGGAGGAGGGTGAGCGAGCAGCTGTTGTAGTGTTTTGCTGCCAGCCAGGGTCAAAACCACGACACCCTCCTGTACCCTTAAAGGGAGCACGAATGAAGAAACCAGCTCCTGAAAAGAGAAGTCGCAGCGCAGCCAGCCAGCCAGGCTATGCTGCAAACCAGCCCCACACCTGGAGACCCAGCCAGGCTGGTATGTGTCTGCAGCAGGAGAAAGTTGTCGTCTCTGCTTTAAACTAGGTAAGGAAACACTGAATCTGGAATTTCAAAGGGCCCAGAGTCACATGTTGACTTTTGAGAGCTTGTTTCCCAAACTCTGACAGCACTTTCGGGTGCCTCCTGCAGTGGCTGGAACATCCCCACGGTGGTGGGGGCCACCACCAAGACGTCAGCCCGCCCACAGGCCATCCAGAAATAGAGTACTGGGAGCATTTGAGTGCAGTATTTCCATACAGATTAGATCACTAACACCGTTTCTGCTTGAGCTGAAGCTAATAAATAACAGAAAACAAGGTTAATGCACAGCGGGAGGCCTGCCTTCTAGGAAATGCTTTTTCTAACCTCTGTTCAATAGAAGGACTCATGTTTTAACTCGCTGTTACAATTAATTTTGTTACACACAAAATGCAGTTCCCTTGAAATCTTGAAATCGTACATTACAGCTAATGAAAATATTTTGGTTTGCTTGGTTTTAATAACACTCTGTCTTAAAAAAAAAAAAAAAGAAAAAAAAAAAAAAGCAAATACTAAGATGGAGTTTTCTCATTTTCTTCCACCACTCAACTTGAGCAAAACAGGACGGGTTCGGATCACTGCAGCGAGGGAGACACCACCGTGAGCGTACTTCTCTGTCTGGCAGAGATAAGGTAATTACCCGAGCAGATAACCCCAGCCCCCAGAGCACGCCTGCAGTCACGCCAAAAACCCGAGGCGGTGTTTCTGCAGCTTCCCTACAAGAACTCAAAAATCACGTTTGAAAATTAAAGCAACAAAGCAAAAAACTGGCTTAATAAAATCTTCCCGATGTGGAAGCGTCTTGGATGTCAAGCTAAGAGATGCCAACAAAAGCCATCGGTGATGAGGCACCCCAAAGCGATGGCTGATTTCTTCAGAGTGGGGAGCAACGGCGTTCTCCGCTTTGCTTCCACTGCGACAGAGTAAGGACAGAGCGTTTCAGCCGCAGTCCCCGGCCCCTTTCCCCAGTTCACCGGCAGCGAGGGGCTGGGGGTCCGTGCCGCAGGCAGAGCCGTGCCCCAGCCCCAAGGCAATGCGGCGTTGGGGTAATCTGGGCACTAGTGGGTCGTGCCTTGAGGACGTTATCAGATCCCTGCAGTGTAAGGAGATAACAACTCCTCTGTTCTCAAGATTAAAGGTAGATGCAGATTTCCAGCCAAAACCCCTTCTCACAGCCAAAACCCCGTCCTCGCTTCCTGAACATACAGCGGTGGGTGTTTGCACCAGCCAGCAGGAGGGCTGGTGACCGCCATCTGGACTGGATGGACCCAGCTGATGAGTTACAGATGCACCAAAGCATGGGTTTCCCTTCCCCCAAACAGCCATGGAGTGCTAACTTCACTTTCCAGATTCCCATTGCTTTTTTTGGTTGTTAAAGGCAGACCTTGAGTCACACCTCTGCTTGCACAGCGATCTGCAGGTGACACCGTCCTTAGTCACTTAAAAACCTCCTGCCAAAGCAGGGAGTGTCCGTGAACATCGGTTTCATCCGATGCCAGCCAGCTTCATCTCTTTTATCGCTGTTGATGTTGCGATTTGAGCCCAAAGCAAATAAATTCTCCGCCAGATAACGCGCCCTGACGCGGGCTGCAAACACAGCTGGTTTGTCCCTGCCGTGCAGGTTACGGGCTTTCTTTTTCCAAAATAAATATTTTCTGAAGGCACTTGTAATGTCCCACAACAGATCACAGCCATTCCGGATGGATGCTGCCCAGCCTACAAAAATCACCGGGGAGCGGTGAGCCCTGGCAGCATCCCTCCCTCTGCCACCGCAGCTGCCTCCTGCCCGCACACGGGTCCCACACCGGCAAGGACACAGCCCACGTCCAACCTGTGTTCAGAGCTTCATCAGGGGCTGTGGACAATGCTAATGCCTCATGAGCATCTCAAAAAAAGAAGTGGTAAGGGAGATCTGGGGATCTCACCCAGACCTGGATCCAACACTTGGGTGCCGGTATCCCAAATTCTGAAATTGCCAACTTCAGACTCCAGTGGGATTTATGAGCCCAAAATATTAAAAATATCTTGATGTCAGCCAAAAAGAGGCTGCCTGGGCTGCCCTGACTTGCTTGTGCCATCAGGGAGGGGAACAACAAAGCAAGAACCAGCCCCGTGCTCACCAATAAGAGGAATACAACCCGTAAATAAACACCAGCCTGACTTAATTTCGAGCCGAGCTGGAGGAACACAGGGAGTAGATGAAAGCCATAAACTTCCCCACCGCAAAGAGACAGAAAAGCTTAAGGGATTACTCGTATCGCTTACACATCTTTCTTGTCAAGGGGGCTTACAAGCGGGCGTAGCGATCGCCGGCATCCGAGGACACTCGAGGAAGAATGGGGGCTCAGTGCTGTCCCCACGGTGGGGACAGTGAGCAGTTGTCATAAGGTGGGTTTAAATTAAATGCCAACACGCAGCTGGTTACCTCTTGGACAATAGACATCCGGAGCCCATCGGTTGCACTCATAATTATCCGCTGCCTTTTCGCAGGTGAAACATTTAAATCCGTGCGGATACGGCGTGGCTGAAAGGGACAGACAATATTCCGTTAACATGAGCCAATTAATCCGGTCCCGCTCCGCTTCCCAGAGGCACACAGCAGCGTTTGTTCTCTTTAGACATATCTTTCTACAAGTATACCTGTCAACTTCATCAGGTTGGTCCTGATCTGTAAAAATCCCATCACCCATGGCAGTGAGGGGAGGGCACATAGAGCTACAGCAGGGACTCATTTCCACCGTGTTTGCTGAGCAAAAGTGCCCGGCTCCTGACTTCAAAGGGAGTTCATGTGAGCAAGGAGTGCTGATTCTCTTGGTATCACAGCTCACATCCAGCACTGCTCCTTTATCAGCGCTGATAACAACATATCAGATGGATTAAAATACTTCTGGAAACCGTCCCACCGAGGAAACGAGCTGCACCTTGTCCCCAAAAGAAAAAAAAAAATCAATTTGCTGAACCTCCTGTTTTGAACAGCAGGCTTCGTCCTAAATTTATCTCGCCAAACGAAGAGCGTAACTTCTTAAGTGGTCTCCTGGCAGGGCTTCTGGAGCACATTCAATACCTCTTCAAGATGCTGCCACCTTCTCAGGAGCCAAACGGTGAAGGGGTCACGTTCATCTCCACAGGGCAAAGTAACCTGAACCCTCCTCTCCACCTCCTCCCCGTGCCCACCAAGGGAACAGGGACACAAGGGACAATATTAATTAAATTCACCCCCCTTGCCCTGGACCTCTAGCAGGTCATGGTTACAGTGTGAAAGAGGAATTTCATCTCACTTGTACAGAATATAAATTTTTCAGCCAAATCCAGAAAGGCGGTGGGTTTCTCTGGGAACAGATAGCGGCTACAGCTCCCCAGCTGCTCCCTTCTTGTAGAGTTAAATAAGTTTGTGTCTGATGAAGTGAGCAGAGTGGCGAGAGTCCACGGAAGATGTAAAGATGCATAACTTTTCTATAGTATGGCTTCAGGGAGTTACTAGAATAAAGTCAGGAGGAGTTGGTGCCACAGCTGCACATGGTCACGTTTGTCCCTTGCTCACAGCTGTCGATGCGCTTGGGCAAACTGTGGCCACAGAGCTTGGTCTTATAGCCAAATAAATTATTAAAGAACAGAAAATAGCAAACAAAAAGCTCCTGACACATTCAGCAACTGCCTGTAACCCTTTAATCCCTTTGGGAAGGACCGTTCTGGGTTTATACCAACTAGTTTTATGAGTCCTGGGGATATTTA